TTACGTTTGGCCTCAGTGGCGTCCATTTTGACCAGGTTGTACAGGAAACTAACTGAGTATAACAATTCAGTTGCAATATATATAGAACCCCTTCCTAAAGACATTAACAAATATTTTCTTATTTTCTTTTACTTATAAAACATTAATATTGATTACAATAATTAGGAAGTCATTATGGTACAAGTACAAATCTAAATATAATTAACTTCTGAGGTAAACAAGCGATTATTGTATTGAAAGTGATAACGATAATACCCCTAGCACATTATGTACATATTTGCATATCATTACATTATATTATGTATTACGTACCATTTGAATATCGTATAAGTTTTTAGCGCATTTTACGAACGTAAAATTACCGTTATTTTACCATTTAAAGACAAGCGTTATACCTTCGTATCGAAATTGGTGTATAATATTTATAATTTGTTGAGAACTGCTGACTGCTGGGTGATTGGTGTTTATTGTTCTATTCATTTAAACAAGCCGTAAGGATTGTTTTATACGACTTTCGCCCTTAAAAATCCGGTTTTTCCAATACATTTAAGATGCAAATCCAATAATACCATTTATCGCAATACTATTGGGAACACCCCCAGCGCTAATGAGAAAAGTAACATTATTTTCTGAATACAGTATACCTACACTCAGTAGTAGTAATTCATCGGAATTCATTGTCGCACATGATACAATTCCAAAACTGAAAGAAAGCGTGTGGAATGTACAGTAACTTTGGTAACTAGCCACGCTCTCCGGCTGGCGTGTGACATGGGACCTAAACATTGTAGGTAACAGCAGTACAATGTTATTTTGTGTTCGAAACGAAGTAACGGGAAATACTCCCTTCGCTTGTACATAACGGATTATCAATAAAGTGCATTTTAACAGAATTCAGACAAATTTCGCCTATTCTGCTTAATTCTATCCACAACCTGCCAACGATGATTGATTTGGGAACTGATGGCAAATAACAGTTTTAGGCATCGCATTCCAGTAAAGATAACGCAATTTATAAGAAATAATTAGCATACTAACCCATCATATTTTTGTTCTCTTTTTCTGCGTGGCTTACCAGGTTCTCTAACATTTTTCCCGAGGCGACACTTAACACACATTCAACTTCAACTGGTTTCTCACACTCCACGACATGTTAAGTTGCCAATAAAGTATCATTGATTACTCAAGTAAAATATTCAGGGATCATTTACAAAGCATACTATAATAAACAACAATCATGGTTGTGGTGTACCAGAAAATAATAAATGGTAAACTTACGCATTGCTGATGCTAAAACTTATTATGAAAGTTATTCAATCTTGACATAAGACAGGTATATTTTTTTAAGCCGGGTAGCGGGTGTCGTACTTCTACATAACCAAACCAGTAGGTAGGAAACTATAAAATACTATGTTGGTTTTAAGAAACCTTGGCTGGTGAGTTCAGTGGTGGTGGTTTAAGATTTCTCTCTCCTCCACAGCAGCTGTGGAGGAGAGAGAAATCTTAAACACGTCTCGTCATCAGCCAAGGTTTCTGGTCAGACCACCAGCAACCAAATACATCTGATTTCTGTCTACATAGCAAGATGCAATTACAGAAACCAAATAGTACATTATGGCGCTGATAAGCCTCTCCAACCTTCGGCAACGTGAGAATGACAAACAACGTATGTATTTCAGATATTTTGGAGTACATAGTGTGGAGTGTCTGCAGATATTAGCAACCAAAGTGATATATGGTGCCAAGCACCATCCCAAATTTATTGACAGTACTCCTCTCATATTGACTACATCCGAGTCCCATAAGTAACTCTTTCTTTGTGGCAACCGATGTTTTTTGTGGAGTTCAAAATGGATAACTATAAATATGAATTTTTCGTACCTAATGTTGTTGATTCTATTACCATGGTTACTACCTACGCCCAGGCCCCGGGTTACAAATGGGATAACTGGCCTATAGCCCAGGGCGCTACTTTCGAGGGAGCGGCAAGATGTGCTAAATTATATGTTTTTGCATTACTTTCAATTATTCCACTCTTCCATGGTTCTTAGTGAATTTGAAATCAATACCTATAGATATACATAACCGTATGAAACTCGGTCACAAACTACGCAATTTTACTATTATAAATATTAAGTTACGGGGGCTCCGAACTAAATATAGCCCAGGGCGCTAAAAACATAACCCGGGACCTGCCTACGCCAGCTTTGAGAAACATTTTTTGCTCATGATAATAATAAAAGACGAATTCGGAAAAAATATGCTTCGGACGCTTGGATTTAAATGGGCATCGTCCTTTAAAGTATCTATAAAACACCTAGTTATCTTAATAGCTATTATTTTATAGTATATGTTAAACTGACATTTTAATAGGTTTGAATGAGTAGGCTAAGCTGCTCTTTAACCGTAAGGTTAGATAAAGTAATCACTTTAACCGTGAGGGTAGATAAAGTGAAACAGATGATTGTGCATTCTGTCATTCTAATTTCCAATGCACGATATAAAATGACGTTTAGAGCATATGGCAATGCTGTTCTTTCTATGGAAACTACCGCGACGGCAAAACCTAAGCTATTTTTGACGTCTAAATAGGGAGGTTCGACATTTTTGGTATATGTTTTATTTTAACTAAAATCGAGAGATTTTGTTATTAAAAAACGATCAGAAAAAAATTGGGTGCAAAATATTGATAATTACGTCCGCTGTAAGCACTTTAAAATCAAGGGTCGGCGCGAAGCAAGGGAACGTACCTGTGCGCGTGACTACTCCGCGTGACGTCAGTAGCCAGAAACATTCGTATGCTTTGCCAGCACGGCGCCAAATGTTTCTGGCTACTGACGTCACGCGGGGTAGTCTCGCGCACAGGTACGTTTTCTTGATTCGCGCCGACTCTTGATTTTAAAGAGCTTACAGCGGACCTACATACTAATATTTTGCACCCAATTTTTTTTCTGATCGTTTTTTAATGACATTATGCTTAACAGAATCTCGTTTCCAGACTTATCAGTGCCCCTGTATATACACTCTTGAAAGCATTTCTCAAGATACTCCAACCCACTTGATAAAAAAAAAACTATTGATCGCCTTGACATGGTCGCAGTCTGTTGTTGTTCAATCTTGACCTTTACCGTGCCCCCAAATATACAGTCAAACTGATAAATAAGAATTTGAGAATATTAGGGTAGTATACGCCCTTAAGACATGTAATTCGATTTTACCCGACCCAACGTAACTATTATTAAACTTCCTCCTATTCCTCATTTCATCTAAAGGCCGTATGACACTGTACTAAATTTAGTGCCAAATTTATAAACATAATTTGAATAAAAAATTTGTTAAAAATTTTGAGTAAAAACATTTATTTGTGTCTGACACTATTACTAAATTTTGCAAAGAAAATTGTATTTGCGCCTGTGCTGTTTGGACTAGTGTAGGGGAATGTGTTTATTCTGTGTTAGTTTGTTTTGTTTTTGCTGTTCTGTGGTTTTCACTAAATTGATTTCATTGCAACATAACCTACACCCTTTATCATCATATAAATAAATATTGGTTTATTTATCATGGAATGTGCTGTAGTTACTGCAACTTCAATAATGTTAATAGCAAAAATGTTATTGCGTTTAAAACAACGGCGCAATCGACGTCGATTATGGTACTACAATGGCTGCAACGCCGAAATAACGGAAGAGGTATTTTGCAAATGTTAAATAATGAGCTCCTCCAAGAAGATCCTAGCTCTTATAGAAATTTCCTTCGTTTAAGTAGTGACAGCTTTAAACATTTATTATCCTTATTGGAAACCGAAATAACTAAGCAAGATACACAATTGAGGGAATGTATTCCTGCCAGAAGTAAGTAAGTATAAGCAAACTCATATACGTCTGAATATAGATAGCATTCACATTATTATTGCAGGTTGGAGGTTACTCTCAGATTCCTGGCAACAGGGGAGACATTTAGGTCTCTTATGTATGCGACAAGAATCCATGAAACGACAATAAGCCGTTTTATACCCGAAGTATGTAGAGCTATTGTATCCAAATTAAAATCAGACTTTTTAAGGGTGAGGTATAATTATATAACATTTCTTGAATTGATTGCATTATTCCCAATAGGCACCACAAAGTCCCGAAGATTGGAAGAAAATTGCAGATGATTTTAGTACAATGTGGCAGTTTCCTCATTGTATTGGGGCTCTCGATGGACGCCACATTACATTTAGAGCGCCAATATCAGCTGGATCATATTACTATAATTATAAGGGTGCTAATAGTATAGTACTGCTAGGTTTAGCTGATGCCAACTATAAATTCATTTATGTGAACATTGGTGTTAATGGACGCATAAGCGATGGTGGTGTATTTAATAACAGTGAATTGTCCAAGGCATTGCAAAATAATTCTCTTAATTTGCCTTTGCCTGAACTCTTACCAGGCTTGAACAAACCACTGCCATATGTTATTGTTGCAGATGATGCCTTTGCTTTATCAAATAACTTAATGAAGCCATACCCTGAACGGGGGCTTAGCAAAGACTGCCGAATTTTTAATTATCGATTATCTCGGGCTAGGCGTATAATAGAAAATGCATTTGGCATATTAGCAAATAGATTTAGGATTCTTTTAAACCCTATTAATCTACTTCCGGAAAAGGTAGAACTCATCACATTAACTTGCGTTTTACTACATAATTTTCTAGCCACTGAAAATTCCCAATCACATTTCGAAATTGCTGAAGACATGCAAAATCTCCCAAAAATAACGCGGCAATGTGGGAACAGAACTTCTCACAACGCAAGAGAAATTCGTAATGCCTTTAAAACTTTTTTTAATTCTCCGAGTTAGTTGGCAGGAAGCGGCAATAAACAATTTTAATATGTATATGATGTGTTTTATTTACCAAACCAATGAAGAAAACAACAATTTACTTTTATACGGTTTCCAATGTAACTTTACGCCCAGTGTCACAAAGTCTGATTAAAATATGTTAGTTGACCAATTGATAAAGAAAAACCGTTGTTGTTTGCCAGTTGAAGATTTCCACACATATGGTAATTACATGTATTTGAAAAAAATAATGAAACATATTTCATACACAAATATCAGTTACATTCTCTTATACCACTACACAGTAACCCAATTATTTGTTGTTCAACCTCCATGCGCACGGCTTCAGAGGTTATCTTCCTTAGCTTAGTGCTAACATACTTGGCAAATGCTTCGTCTTCATCGTTCGAGTAATTATTTTGGCTCATTGAACGATTAATGGTGGCCAGGGTGTTTGAGGCTTCTCTTATGAGGTTCGCTTCAACTAAATCATTTTGGATTTTGCGTTTTTTGGGTTTAGACTGCCACATTCCATTCGAAGATGAACACGAAGCAGCTGGGGATCCCAACGGTGGAGTTTCCATGTCCGAAGTCTCTTGCAAAACACCTTCTTCCCCTACGGTATATTCTGTAGATTCTGCCTCCTGTGATTCACATTCTGTCTCCTCTTGTGTTAAAGAATCGGTAGCAGTTCGCACCTCGCAGTGCTCCAGTAGAAAAAACATTAGTTTGAAATACCATATGGTAGGTTTATATGACTGTAAATTACAACATTAATTAGCAAAGGTATATAAATAAGTCTACGATATCAACTTACCGAGTCCTCACCATCGTCGTTGCCAGCTCCGCTGTGCCTGCTAGATTTCCACTTCTTATATTCCGTCATAAAATTGGTTTTTAAACCATTAAATTTCAGTTTAATATCTTGTACGCTAACTGAAGGCTTTACTTCTTTTACCACCGCTTGTATTTTCTGTAAAGCATCTAAACGTGCATGCTTATTTCTATACAATGGCGTTTTTATTGCGTACAAACATGGGTATTTTTGATACTCTTGTAACAACACTTGGCATTGTTCCTTAGACCACGACATACTTAATTCAGAAAAACTTTAAAGCCTGCGTGCTCACGATTGCAGAAGATTGCGAATTAATAATTACAAATTTCTTTGGTTATGGTACACAAAAACACTGCGATGCGTCACAACATTCTGCGCAGTTTTCGTACCAAATTTATGCGGTTTTTAGAACTTGTTTTAAATAATTTCTGTCCACAAATTTTGTTGCAAATTTTCTTACTTAACGCGTATGATACTATGCAAAATTTTGTACAAATTTTCGTCATGTAAATTTCGTACTAAATTTAGTACAGTGTCATACGGCCTTTATAACGGTAAGTTAATTAAATTATCTAAATTTATATATAAAAATTAGATCACATATCCACTCAGCTTTCAAGTACACGATATTTACAAAAAAAACTTCTGTTTCTTTATATAGATCACTTCGTTAAGCTTTCCAACTTCTTTTGTCGGTTAATAAATTGAAATACTCAGTTCTGCTCTCGGACTTCCGTTTATTTGATAAAAATTTTATACATTTTGAATACCAAATTTATTATTCTTTCTGTATTGAGCCAATATTAAAATTCAATTTTTAATTCCTTCTGCGTTTCAACGTCAAACGGCAAATTCTTTGTGAAAAATTGAATCCGAATTTCCATATTCGGATTGTTCTGTGCTAAATTAAAATTGGTAACGACAGAATTTTCCGTTTACTGCTGATTTTCCTGACCGGGTATGTATATCTTTAGCGAAACATTATAGCGTCAGCTTTAAGGAAGACGGAATGATTGTTGGAAATGGTTTTACATTCCTTTATGAAATGCCTTTAATTAAGTGTGACATAATGGAAGATGCTATTGTGATTAATGAACATACCACTCGATAAAGTGGTTCTCACTTACGCTTCTTTTGAGATGGATACAATTTAATTGCGCCCCGCATATTCCAGAGAAAATTTTCTTCGTATAGTAAGTATAAGGTGTAAGTAATTTGTTTGCTGAAAACTTTCTTGTTTGATTTACGAGGATTAATTATGTATGCATTCACCGCAGCTTCTCATCACGTGGGTTCCCATCATAATGTACAGCTTGTGATTACAATATGTAATGCTTCAGCTGCACAGATTAAAAAAAGGGCAAAACAATGCTGTAAAACTGGTTATCGTTTAATATTATACCTGAATGTATGTCTTGGTAAAAGTATCGTTATTTGTAGTACTCCACGTTCATAATTAACTTCGTCCACGCGAGTCTTCCAATTTTAATTCCTTTGTTGATTGATGTTGTTCATTAAATAATTGGTGTGTTTAAGTCATTAAAGCCGAGACACCAACATTGTATTTCTTTAAAATTATCACGGCGCAATTGCTATATGTGGGCAATTATTGAAATATCCGGTTTTCGTCTTTTAACGTTAGGTGGGTGGCACTAAATAATGTCTTTACTTAGCCATAAGTTAAGTTTGTTTGAGATTCATTAAACGTGAATAAGCTCTTCTCACTTATTAATTTCAGTTAATATTCAATTATTTTGAAATGGTCGCCAAGGTATTTAGAAAGCAGTAGTCGGCCAAGCCCAAGATATACTTACCATTTCGCCCAAATTAGTTAAACCCACGTGGATTTTAGAGAACGAAATTGCTATCAATCTACTGTCTTGAGAAATTTGTAATTATTTCTACAACTGAAATACGGCAAAAGCTGTTTCTACGATTTACCTATATCAATGGCGATGCAGATTGGCCTTCTCGGACGCAGACAATTCCGGCATTCTTGACAATGTCTCAGGAATAAGCTAACAAATCAAAAAGGCTCGAGAAACTTAAATAAAACATTCGCAAGGATATTATTGAAATACTGGATGGCGTGCCGTGTGCAATCTTCTCAAAGGGCAACTTTCACTTATTATGAGGTGGACATTTCTGATATTGCCAGCATTTATCCTACCTAGTCACTAGTCAGCAATGGATTTTAGGTGATGTGCTTACGGATTGGGCGATTGGAGAAATTAGATAATAAATAAATAGATAAAATTTTTGAATCGGCATTAGTTTTACTTTTATTCGAGGTGCTTACATACAAAATTTTATTCAAAAATCCTAACAAATGAAAAATTTGTGATTGCGCTTGCGCAAAATAAAACATTCGCTGCGTCCTGTTTTTCGGGCTCGTTCTGCCCCTCTAATGGTGCCAACCGGTTTATGTGCACTATACCCAAGGTTGTTTTATTACAAAGGTTGTCTGGTAACTCTAAACCAATAGAATGCTTGCATTTTGAAGACGGGAAAACGTCATCCAGAATTCACATTTAAAATTGCTCATAGGTTACAATGCTAATAAAAGGGGTAAAAAATTGAGTTTTTGCAGTATATTTTTGGATTTATATGGGTATATGTATATGGGGGTGGATCTTATATTGGAAATCTTGGAAGTTTATCGACTTCCACCTTTGAAAGCTATCAAAGTATTGCAAAAATGAGTGTGGTGCGTAAGCTGTTTTATATTGCACGAGGACTTGTGAAAATGTAATCAAATTAATTTTAGAGGTGGAAATGGATAAAATTCCGCGTTCTACAAAATAGAAACCACCCCTATGTACCAATACCTAGCTTTTGGGAATTAAAACTCTAAACATTCTTAGGGGATGACGCCAAATAAAATGCTGTTGCGTTTTATGGAAAATGTATATTTATAGTATGTACAAAATGGTAACCGAGGTGTACACGGCGAGCTCTGTCGTTGGGGTGAGCCCAGATGCAGGTCTTCTGACCGATGGAGTGTGGCGCGATGTCGAGCTGGCAAGGCGACCTGGTTCTGCAGGTGGAGAGCTTTTTGTTTCTTGAAGTGCAGTCGAAGCAGAAATTGCGTTCCACTTTGCAGAGTTCGTGGCTCTGCTTTTAAACGTTTGCGGCCAGGGACGCTACGCTTTCATCGGTTGGCCGTTTTGACCAATGAGGGCGCAGCACATTTTAGTTTGCTACCGGATGTGAAATATTTTCTTACCCATTCTTTAAGAACGGTAGGGTCGTTGGGAAACGTAAAAACCGAGATTTTATTTACACCAGGATGAGGAATTTTAGTGTTACCGCCACTCATCTAAAAAAATACTTATTTATAACATACAAAAGTGCATATAATTGATGAACTAACCATTCAATCACGGCTATGAAGACCCACAAAATTCACAAACTAAATGTCTTTATATTGCACCAAACAGTTATCTACAGCTAATATATGTCCTTATGCACTTCAAAATTCAACAAATTTTAAACAAATAAACTATAACTCAAGAAAAATAAGCACCCGCGCGACTACAAACAACGTTGAACGTCAATGTCAGAATTCTCGATGACGTATACATTCCGTCCCTCCCGCTTCCGCCCACATAGTTACCAGGTAACCTTTGAAATAAAATAACCTTGCACTATACCACTGGTTTTCCTTGTGGTAGTTTCCGTATCCCATATATTAAGTCCTTTATTCTCTTCACAACTGTATGCGATCTTTCCCTTTCTAATGTCGAAGATACCCCGCGCCTCCTTTGGGGACGAAACAACCGAACCGGACAAGTCCAGTGCGTCGTGCGCGTTTTTCTCATATTAGTGCTCTAATTGTGAGCAATGTCGACAATCCTCAGGACATGGTCTTCTAGATAAGGCATCGGCATTACGATGGTTTAGTCCCGCCCGGTGTTCTGTTATAAAGTCGTATCCATGCGGTTGTTTCTACCATCTAGCAGCTTGGCCTCCTGGACTGGTATTTGCAATAACCATCGCAATGCGGCATGGTCGGTCCTTACAAGAAACTTCTGGCCATACAAATACTTATGAAAATGTTGTATTCATTTGATGAAAGCTAGCAGTTCCCATCTAACGACCGAGTAATTACCTTCCGATTTAGGCAAGACTTTATTGAAATACCCGATGACTCTTTCGTGTCCATCCTGCATTTGGGATAGTACAGCACCAATTCCAACATTGTTAGCGTCCGTATCCAACACGAAACCTCATTCTCTTCTAGGATAGCTGAGTATCGGTGCCGTAACTAAACCTTCTTTAAGATCTTTAAAAACCCGCTTACATCCATAATCCCATTTGAAATATCTGTTTACCTCTGTTAACTTGGTCAACGTCTTTGCAATATCAGCAACTCCATGAACAAATCACCGGTAGTACGTGCATAGGTTCAAGAAACTCCGTATTTCATGTTTATCTGGCTGGGACCAAGGTTGCACTTCTTGGTATTAAGTTGAATGTTAGCACCGCGTAACTCATGAACACGCCTTCGAGACTTTTAAGCTGTTCTTCGAACATTCAGCCAATCACAATTACGTCGTTCAAATACTACAAGAGATACCAGGGTAAACCTTTCAAGACCAGTTCCATCAATCTCTTAAACGTTACGAGGGCCAAAGGGCATGACCGTAAATTATCATATATATCGGATAGTTTAGTTGGCATAAAAGACCAACTAGCTCAGGGTAAAACACAAAATAAGAGCTTGAGAATCTCCTACAGCGAAAGCGTTCTGGGTAAAATGATATCAGGAATCTTCGTTGCACTCACCAAGGTTGAGCACCACTCTCCCTGTATGAAATTGAGAAGATACAAGGGTATCAATAAGAGTACAAGCCAATTTAAGTCCCAAAATTGATATTAGTTTATTCACGTGTATCAAATCAAACTCCGCGATGGTATACCTAGCGTACACAAAAAATATTCAAATATGAAAATTATAAGTTACGTCACACACTAAAATATTAGTAACTTGACTTTGCCATATACCAGTTTTACAAAACTTCAATCATCGATTAGATTGAGTAGGTACTTGATTTTAACGCAAGTTTCCACAAAGAAATTAATCCGAACACAAATGCGCACGTATAGGCAAAGTAGAAGCAAAACATAAAAAGGAAACGCTTACCTTGATTTAATAAGATGTTATCCAGAGAAGTGAGCTCAATTCCAGGATCCATCAAATCTGCAACAAAAGAATACTCCCAAGCCGCAGAGCTCGGAGTACCCGAAGGGCC